AGGATCTGAATTCTTATGGCCTTGGGAATGTTGACTGGAAGGAAAGAGTGGAAGGTTGGAAATTGAAACAAGACAAAAACATGATGCAGATGACAAGTAGGTACACTGAAGGGAAGGGGGACATGGAGGGCACTGGGTCAAATGGAGAAGAACTTCAAATGTAAGTACTTCACTTATTTATTTATTTCTTTACTTGAATGTCAGTGATGCTAATTTTGTTGACTTCATTTATTTATTTTACAGGGCTGACGATGCTAGACAACCTCTGAGTCGTGTCGTTCCTATTCCATCTTCTCACTTGACCCCGTATCGTGTTGTGATCATACTCCGACTTATTATTCTGGGCTTCTTCTTACAGTACCGTTTGACTCACCCTGTGAAGGATGCATACCCATTGTGGTTAACATCAGTTATTTGTGAAGTTTGGTTTGCCCTTTCCTGGCTTCTGGATCAGTTTCCAAAATGGTCTCCTGTCAATCGCGAGACCTACCTTGAGAGACTTGCGTTAAGGTCGGTATAGTTTTTCTCCATATGGTCGAATCAAATGGGTTTAGTTTGGAAGATCAATTACAGTTAGTTCTACTATTAAGTTGATCAATTGTTGCCTTCACCGTGCAGATACGATCGTGAAGGAGAACCATCACAGTTAGCTCCTGTTGATGTCTTTGTTAGTACAGTGGATCCACTCAAAGAGCCTCCACTTATCACAGCAAACACTGTGCTTTCCATACTTTCTGTGGACTACCCAGTGGACAAAGTCTCCTGCTATGTATCAGATGATGGTTCAGCAATGCTTACTTTTGAATCCCTCTCTGAAACGGCAGAATTTGCAAGGAAGTGGGTGCCCTTTTGCAAGAAGTTCAATATTGAGCCAAGGGCCCCTGAATTTTATTTTGCCCAAAAAATTGACTATTTAAAAGACAAGATTCAACCTTCCTTTGTCAAAGAGCGACGATCAATGAAAGTAAGAAAACCATACAAATGACGATTTCATAATCTCGTAGTTGTGTCCATTGTTTGATATGTACTTTCTTTCGTAGCATGGGTTCTTCATTTAGTTTTCGAATTACATTTAGTCGTCTAATTTTGGAAGGCCATAGATGGATAAATATTTTTTAATCTTCTGATACACATGAAAAGTTAATGTGTTGTTTCACAGAGAGAGTATGAAGAATTCAAGGTTCGGATCAATGCGCTTGTTGCCAAAGCACAGAAGATGCCTGAGGAAGGTTGGACCATGCAGGATGGAACGCCATGGCCAGGAAACAATCCCAGGGATCATCCTGGAATGATACAGGTCTCCCAAGCATTCAAATTGTTTGTTTTTACACTTTTGAATCCTTTTTCGAGGGGTAATATTGATATTGTGTATGTTCAAGTGCAGGTTTTCTTAGGCCACAGTGGAGGTCTTGATACTGATGGCAATGAACTACCACGACTTGTTTATGTTTCTCGTGAAAAACGACCAGGCTTCCAGCACCACAAGAAAGCAGGAGCCATGAATGCACTGGTCAGTTATCTTTCTTTGATATAACCATGGCATAAAAGATACAAGAAATTAACAAAATTATTAGTTATAAGAAGAAATCGACTTAGAATAAGTTCATTTTTGAGGTTTTCTGTGATTATTTAATGATTTGATTTCATGTTATCTTCAGATCCGAGTTTCTGCTGTGCTTACTAATGGAGCATATCTTTTGAATGTCGATTGTGATCACTACTTCAACAACAGCAAGGCTCTCAAGGAAGCCATGTGTTTCATGATGGATCCTGCATATGGGAAGAAAACATGTTATGTACAATTCCCACAACGTTTCGATGGCATTGATTTGCACGATCGATATGCCAATCGCAACATTGTCTTTTTCGACGTAGGCTATTTTACCTGTCATCAAGCATTTCAATCATATATCTCCTTGTAATTTTGTTGCTTTTTGTTTTTGCCTTGTTGTTGACGTTGTATTCAATCTTGCTATACTTTTCAGATAAACTTGAAAGGGTTGGATGGCCTCCAGGGTCCAGTCTATGTGGGAACGGGTTGTTGTTTCAATCGACAAGCTTTATATGGTTATGATCCGGTTCTGACCGAGGCAGATTTGGAACCAAATATTATCATAAAGAGTTGTTGTGGTTCAAGAAAGAAGGGCAGGAACAAGAAGTACATAGACAAAAAGAGAGCTGCAAAGAGGACTGAGTCTACCATTCCTATCTTTAATATGGAAGATATCGAGGAAGGCGTTGAAGGTAGGTTTTCCTCAAAGAACTCACTCTTTATTCTATAAAACAGAATGTTCACCTTATTTGCTGTGACTTTCAGGTTATGATGATGACAGGTCGCTCCTGATGTCCCAGAAGAGTTTAGAGAAGCGCTTTGGCCAATCTCCAGTTTTTATTGCAGCCACTTTCATGGAAATGGGAGGTATTCCACCTTCAACCAATCCTGCAACTCTTCTAAAGGAAGCAATTCATGTCATCAGTTGTGGGTATGAAGATAAGACAGAATGGGGCAAAGAGGTTAGTTGCTACTAGCAATTCATGTCGTCTACTCGTGTTCTTAAGAGAGCTTCAAAGATGAGCCTGATGAACTCGGATCTAACACCTGTTTTTTTTTTTTTTTTTTTTTTTTTTTTTAGATTGGGTAGAAATATATGGAGAAAGTGGATGATTAGATGTTATATACTAGATTTATGAAAACTATTCGGTACTAATTTATGTTATTCAATCATGAAAAAATTATGTTTTTTATTAAAATAAATCTCATTCTATCACAAAGGATAAGCTCAAATATTTATTCATATAGTTCCTATTTATTAAATGCATTACTCATCAATAAAAATAGGTAAATTAGTTTCTAAAAAAATAAATAATTAAAGCAAGTGCCTTAAGGAAAAAAAAGTCGTCGATGTTATTTTCAAGTAAGCATGTAGGTAATTTTGGTCGATACAATGTCTTCCGAGCTTCAATTTCCCTTTCAACTCCAGTATGGAACCTTTGAGTTAGGCGTGAGGGTTGTTATGGATGTGTCACTTGATAGTTTATTTGATTGTCTTGCCCAATGGCTATGTCCTATAGGAGGATGTTGATCATGC